GTTACCACGAGATCGCCAACAAATACATCTCGACTGAAACCATCAACTGCCTTCTGATATTTAACCTGGTAACTGGCACGTAGTCTTTCTGTAGTGGTGATCATAGTCAACCGCGACTTGACGCCTACTAAAGGTAATTGACAGAACGCTTTGAACCACAATGCTTTGCCTATTCATCACAGTCACTACCAAAAGATCATTCATGCTTTTGAAGTATTATCAGCATTTTCTCGCAACATATAAGCAATAGACTGATCCTAGTTATTGCTGCTGAAATTGGTACAAATATAAATAGATATATCATTAAATAAATTTATTGATTAAGGTTATCTTGACCTATGTTGTCTATTTCATAGATCAAAATGGATTATTCATCTATCTAATTATTGGAAACATTTCAACTTTAGGTCAGGGGTCAAATTAACCTCAAAACCAAAAAAAAGAAAATAATCAACCTATTCATTATTGTTTTATCAACTGAATGATACAGACAATGAAATCAAATAACTAATGAATAACAGTCCCGTTTCTGTTTACATATATATGAAATAGACTAGAATATTTTGTCAACAAATAAACTAGTGTGATAGTAACAAATATTATACTATTCTTACTATATTTTTCAACTACTTAATTCATTGATAAAAATAAGTGAGATCACGGATGCGCACTGCTGAGGAGTCCCACAATAGGACGAAACGGCCGTCCAATGTTTCCAGGTTTTCAATGGTGGTCTAACACCAATCGGTCCATGATCTCAATTAAAAGAACTTATATACTAGTGAATAGAGTGAGGAAGTTATTATTTTATTTATTTAAACACATAAGCATTGGTACAAGGAGGCACCGAATAGATATGCGCGCACATAAATCATTCGCTTTGTGTGAGGGCTGGGATACTGCCCAGACCGAACCAGGTGGTTTTCTTAGGAGGCCACACCCCGAGCCTTGGACCTAAAGGTCTGACCTACAAGGAAGTATTTGAAAGAAACCAGTAAAGTGCAACGATTTTTGATGAGAGATGAAACTAACATCCATAAACATAACTAATGAATATCCATTTCAAGTGTTATAATAAAGTTTATTTGGAAAGTTGTGAAGTTATTTCCACTAACAGTTATCAAGCTTATTAAACACAAATGTTTAGAAACTTTGAAAATAGTCAGATATTGTTACTCAAGTTTGGACTGATTGAATAGAGACTGAATTACATGATGTTTGTCCAGGTGATTGAATTTCTTTTTTTGACTATTAGAATTAAAGTAGAATCACTAATTTGATAGTTGAAACTCAATTTTATGAATCATTGAACCAAATTCTTACAAAAAGAAATTTATTGCTGTCTGAAATAAATCAGATAGTAGTATTTGACAGATTTTAGTATTTTGGCGTTTCCCGTGGATGAATAAAATCAGCACCAGCAGAGGTGTATCTCAGTCTTTTGATGAATTTGACTGAGAATTTATCTCTTAAATGATCATTTTCTAATCAAACAAATTAGATTGAGAGTAAAGAAAGTTCTGAATATTTAAGTGGTGTTACCAACTCAAAACACTGGCTTTAACATCTGCTACAAATGTCGACTGAAATGAGGGATGTTGAAGTTGGCATAGGCGACTACTAATAAGTCGATGAATTCTCATCGAACGAGGTTAGGGCATATGTTACGTGTCTAACCATTGCCTTTAGTTTAGTAGGATCCAAACCAGAAAATGGTATAAGTTCACGAAGTCACTGACTGTTGATATGAGCCATCTAGTCAGGTTCAGACTACCTGGTCGGAGTCTGCATGATGATCCCAATCAATGGTCGGAGACTTTGACAAACAACGTGTATCGGTTAATTGCACGCTACGGACTGACCCATGTGGCAGTGTTTGCACTCTGTTCGTTGTATCTACTTTTATTAACATTTCTGTAATAATGTCGTTTGTGTTGTACGGTCACTAAAGCAAACATAGTACCCGATTACGACGAAAGGGTGATCCACGTTAGGTATTAGCCACAAGGTGTGATTTCGATGTTAGCTAATTGGTCACACCATTCCCGTCTAATCAAAGTAGGCCTCCAATTATTCGACACAAACCGTCCAAGCTGATGGTCTGCATCTCTGTAACGTTCCTGATTTATCCTAATGTCAACACATTGCGAAAATATAATCACTTTTCTACAAGCATGAGAACATGATATTTACAGCTGGTCGGAATTCACCGACCACACTGACCCTATTCATCTCCTTTTTATTATTTAAATTAATGTTCATCTGAAAAGGTTAATTATTATGAGAAAGTATCCAAGATGAATTTATGAAACATAAGAGATCTCCTATTCACTGACATTTTACAAATATGTACATAATTTCTTCCAAAGACTAATGTCAGCCGGAAATTGACTAAAACTCAAGACGTATTGAACAACTACTTCGTTGTAGATTAAGACTGATCACTGGTGAGAACACATAGCCTTACACTAAATAAGTCAGGACCTCCAAGTTTCATGTTGAGGAAGAATTATTTATAGACGATAGGGTTGGAACATAGCACATTTTAATTTATAGCGAAAATCCTTTTTAGATCAAACTAATCTTACTATTACAAACATGACCATTCCTATTATTAAAAATGTTTTGAGTGTCCATAATAGTAAAATGAAGTAAAACTATCTAATCCCCTAAACTCGTAAACATACTTCCGGATTATTAACAGAATTGTAGCTTGTTTGAACGTATTCTTTTATGTTCTTTACCGATTGTTAGCATTTCATTATTAAATAGTTTAATGCTTCAATCTTGGAGGTATATGATGAACCTAGATTATTTCTCATGAACTGATAAATCCTCACATCTGAGATTTATTTCATAACCACTTTTTGGCACTCATGCTTTGATTTTTCTGGACAGTTCCAAATATTTGATGGCATTCATACAACCCAACTACAATAGTTGTTTCATTTGACGGACCATTGGGGGTTGGTATATTTCATAGATGTATTTGTCTAAGGGAAACGGGGAATTGTCGTATCACCAGATTGTTGCAGTGGTATTCGAATGAAGCTATCCAAAGCTCAAAAACAAATCTTAGCTGTGTTTTTCGAATAAAAAAACTTCGCAGAGTATTGCAGAATAGAGACAGAAATTAAAGAGGAATTTATCGGACCAAGTGCGAACCCCATGTTATGTTTGATATGCATAATTAACTTAGAATGCCAAAGGCTAATGATTCAGGTTTGAATTGAATAAAGGATGTATCCCAAGTTCATTTACGAAACAATCCCACGGTGGAAATAACAGTTAGCAAAGAACAGTAGACAACTGCCTAGAAAGATTCAGATTTATGTATTTATTTAGGAAATACTTCACGAAAAAGTGCTAACGAAGCTAGTGTCGACCATGTACTGACAAAAATAACTGATTTGTCTTAACGGCTTGCTAGTGTTAAATGTGGTTAGGCGAAGTGAGGAACAGAAAAAAAGCTTTGCAACAACCAAAGCTTACTATCGGACTGATGATTGGGATACCCCGGATCATTTTATCATAAGACCATCGCATTTCAAGAGCCACCCCATTGAACTGCCCGGAAACGAGTATCCCGAAGACTTCCTGTGGATCAACTCTGATCCAGTTCTAGGGACTACCTACTTGCTTGGTTATAGAAACGTAGAACAAGTTAGGGACAAAATAAGGCAGTTACTAGATGAACAAGTCATAGACTACCCCCACTATTTCCGCATGAGTTCAGAAATCATTTGCGCAGCCGCCCTGACACTGTGGCTATCCAGTTTGATCAAATTCCCTAGGCCAAACTCAGTAGATTAAGCTGGAGATGCATGTTAGCGACAGAAGCTAGTTAGGTCAGTCGGTTATGAAATTTCCCAAAGACAGTGATCGCCACAACCAGTGACCTTATAAAAGTTTAGTAAGATATGCGTCAGATGCCATACACACAAGCACTTGGTACACAAATCGATCGCTAGAAACGCCAGGTTAAAGGGGCAAATAAATCGCCACACTGCTGTGATTTGTGAAATACGACACGCATCCACGAATTTGAGGTAAGACGCAACCTCTGACTTGCTACGTTTCACAGCAACGATGACGACGCAACTTCCTAACTTCGAGAGTAAGAGCACTACTAAGAAGCAAGGTAAGGTCGAGGGCAGGACGCTGACAACCACCCTACCAAGTATCTGCTAATTATGGTCCAGCCCTCCTAACCCGCATCCTAGCCGAGAAGCAATAAATCAACATAGTACTTCGTTTCCATGGTAACAAACGCCCCCACACAGCCTTAAAGAAATAACCCACTGATTAGCAGACACCCACAGCCACGCCAGTCCAACTGCACTTCTTATACCAAATAATAAATGCCTCCTCATTAATGAAAGGTCGTTTGGTTACCTACTTACTACGGGTGAGCCTGTTGCTAGCAAGAACCAGTCCTATGGCTTTGCTCTCACCAACGGGCGAATCCAGAGCCACTGAAGCAGAGACAGACGCACTGGCGACGTCCAGTCAACCACTTTCGAGATATTTATGCAATTGCGGAGGACGACACCACTAAATACATTTCTCAAATCAACTTGCAGAATGGTTCGCCACTAACGCCATCTTGGCACTACAAGCAGTGACCTACAATTCTCCATTCGACTCAAAAGTGATCTGTATTACTACTAACTTAGCACTAGGAGTCCACTCATCACGTCGAAACACTGAATTAAGTCACCTGTTACATTACTCAATTACTTTAAAGAGTAACCCGACAAGGGGAATGCTGTTTGTTGTTACACTACCGCGTCCACAATCTAAGTTAGTTTAAAGCTCTATACTATGACGAGGTGTTAGGTCCACACATCGCTGTCAAGAATGGAATTTACGGAGTACTTTAAGATTCAAACTCATTAAGTGTTGTATGCACAGCCATACTCCAAGACGGTACTTGACTTCTCATAAAAACCACTAACATCGTAAAGGTATGGGCATTTGAGTCAAAAACTGACCCCAAGGAAACAATGAACATAGCTGAATTAAGATGAAATTAAAGCTTTAACAAACAACAAAATTACTTCGTAAAAGGCTGTAATAAGAACATAGTCAATGGTGAAAGTGTAAAATGCGCATATACAGGCGGCTCATAGACAAACAACCACCGGGTGAATGATGTATCACTTCTCAATTAACTGGCAAAGCCTCCTCTTCAGGTGTCTTTTTCTCTGCTTCTTCTTCAGTTCCATTTTCTTCAGATTTGTTAGCATCTGCATTTGGCATTTCTAAGTCAGGGAGATCTAAAAAATTAAGAAATGAATTTATCAGAGGATTGAACAACGTAATTTATTGCATTGCACTATGAGATACTGATTAGTACTTTACGAGTTGGAGTTTATGACAAGGATATGTCAAGAACGAAATAAGGAGAAAATGTTGCAGTTTAATGAATGTCAATTATTGACGGATAAACAGTTTGCATACACAAGTTTGAGCACTAACTGGATTCTGAAGTCAGAAATATGCCACTTGTGACGTGTCAAGCATGTGCATCATACCAGACTATTAAAGTATCAAAAACGCAAGTGGTAAAAGTACCAACGGTAATGTGAAGGACTGAGCAAATAAAATACAGTGATTTAGAAAACACGAAGAAATATAAGTATATAAAATACCTAGTAAGAAATTGCTAGGACTAAACAATTCAAAGGATAAAAGAAACACAACACCTGCACATAATAAGAAAAATTCTAACTATCACTTTCACAAACACTTATTCACGTTCTTACGACTGACTTGTTATAGGTATTATGTAAATACCACACGTGTTTTCTTTATAGACAACCCCTCATAAAGCCAGTTTACAAGCGGATCTTTACATATGTAAGTGACTAGACGGCGTCTTTATACACCTGTTATATGAAGTTTGGGCGCGACAGACAGTAGTCGACAGGCGAACTACTGTTGTTGGCTTAGACTAGGAGTCGTTATAACTAGTGAATAACCTACCTTCATCGTCAGAATCTAGATCACCGTCTATACCATCGTCGCCTCCATAGTCACCAAAATTGGACATCTGAGACAACATATTTGAGAAGTTATTTCCATCCATATCAGGTTCTGAGTCATCATCGTCTTTCCAGCGATTAAAATCTGTTTTCAACCATGGACACTTTGTTTTCTGCGAAAGTAGACGTGGCCATGCACCGTTTTCTTTCTTTTTTATGCAAATAAAGACTTCCCGACCGGAAGTAGTAATTTTTGGTTCCTTGAAATGGATAGTTTTCAGCACAACAACATACCTCTGTACAAACATTTCCATAAAAGTCAAGTTTAACTTCATACTCAATAGGTTTATCTTTGCCTGCTTTCGCTCTAAAAGAATGATTTGAAGTGGAATACAACAAATTACCTAAACTCTAGGGAATTATCTTTAACATTAACAGTCTTATTTACTACATCACTAACAACGACAGTGATGTAGAGGCAATCATTCCTCTGGGCCCAGAGTACTGGTAGGTGAACACTAGAAAAAAGACTATGCATTACTAATCACACATACGCTGCTTGACGATCACCAGACATGTTCATAACCTAATAGCACGCAAGATTATTCTAGAGTAACAATATAGACAAACACGTGATTCAACGCTCAATATTCGCCAAGGTGGATTATTTTTGCCACCCATTGATTAATGAGAATAACTTATTGAATATGCCAGTGGATGTGATAGCATCTTTATTTTAGAGACCAAACCGTGGTAACTAGAAGATTTCAGTTTTCAGTCCTTAGTAGTAAGCTATAGGTCAATCAACATCTAATAATCCATGAAATTTGCAGTGCTGTCGAGATTACATCTTGCTTTGAATGTATTAACAGAATGTCTTGATAGTTCAGTGGTTCTTTACTTGATGCGAGGGACAAAAAACCGAAAGAAAACCATTTGATCTCGCTTTTTGAACTTTCTTAGATTGTTCTTCTTGATGAGCTGTCCTAGATAGGAAGAAAAGATAAGATATATTCAAATCGAACTCCCCATGCGGTGTACGGTAGATCAGTGTTAATTCACTTTTTACCTTGTGGTAAGATAACGGAAATAGGTTGCGGTGTTCCAGTTTTTCTTCAAAAGACCTTTAACAATGTCGGTGCTCTGTCCTTGAGCATGTTCTAGCATATCAGCCGCATACTCAAAACAAAAACTCAGTGCTTGATTTCCTCATTATAAATGCGGCCTCTCAAATTCGAGCATAATAACTGAAACATTTTTTCGTCTAAGTAGTGAAATGATATGGGAATTACTCACAACAACCTGGAGCCATTGGCAGCGATAACCCTGCAATTACTCATAGTTTTGAGGTTGTTGCTTATTATGACTCCTATATATCAATGACCCATTGCTTCGGGTAACACAACTCCACCTATTTTGCAGTGATGTGAATCGTTGCAGTTATTTATTTCCATCATCACACTAATATTGGATTTAACTTCTAATGACTACCCACCCATCCGTTCTACCAATGAATTCAGACCGTCCTGCAACATTAACCTGTTTGACATTCTGTGTGTGGGTCTCCAAATCTTTATGTCATCAGCAAAGAATAAAATCGATGAGTTTTCTACAGCTGGTAAATCATTTACATAAAGTAAGAAGAGAAGGGTACCTAGAATTGTGTCCTGATGAACTGCACTTTTTACAGTTTTGTGCGTTGATAGAGTCCGATATACTGTTTCCATTGTTTCCTACGATTATTAAGGTCACTTATCCAGTTTATGAATTCATAATGGATCCCCAAACTTTCCAGTTTTGATTTAGGACCCGAATGAGAGACTTTGTCATTGACTTTTTATAGATCTATGTAAATTACATCTACGGATTTTCTTGCACCAAAAGTGGTGAGGTTCCATCGCCTCTCTGAGTTCTTCTATCCATATATGAAAAGAAACTTTTCAAACTATTTTCATAATTTCTAACCAATTGTTTTTCTAATGAATGTCTAGTATTAATTATCAACGCTTTGCAAGCGTACCTAGTCTTAGAATAAATGGATCTGTTCTGTTCTGATAATGTAGAGAAAAACATACTCAAGTACCTTTTTCTACGTCTAAGAAGTCTCTTGATCTGTTTATTCATCTATGGTAGACATCTATTTGGTTTATATGATATTAAGTACAATATAGAAGGGGACGTACCTAAGCTAAGTGCACCTTTAAATATCGACCGTGCTTCTCCAGTTGACGAAATATTATTTACTGAGCAATCTGTTGTTGCAGGGCACTACTGAATGAGTGATAGATTTGATCTCCATATATTTTGACAAGGTTTAACTTGATTGCATATTATGTCACTAACTTCAGACTTGGATAAAAATACAGTTAAAACTTTATTGGATAAATTTATCCGACTGATGGATCCAAGAAACCTGTGCTGAATTATGAGAGTTGATAATTATTTGAAGAAAGCTACAAATCCATGCATCGACCACTGATTAAACTGATATAATAGTATTGGGATAGCCTCCGAGAATTACGACGGACCCTCCAGAGGCCCTAAAGGAGCCTAAGAGTTTCCATCCAATCAGAACATGATGGAGCTTTCTAGAATATCAACGTGGCATGCCTTTATTGAACAGTAACAAAACATGTCTCTTTGCAGATTGGCTGAATTATAATGTTGATATAACAAAACTCTAATATCTATAGAGACCCATGATTTTCTGTAGATTTTGATCCTTACCTAACAAGCACTTTTCCATTCTTCTTCCGTCTTCTTATTTGTGACTGTGGTGTTCTATAAGCTCGAATTTCGTAGTTGTATACCGTATTCTGCGTTAACCAAGTAGCGAACTTAACAAGTGGAAGTTGTTTTATAAGAACTCGTTAAGGAATGCCTTCAGTGAAAGTGACGTCGATGGCATGTGTTCCAAATTGAATGACAAACAGGCTTTTTAAAGAGTTCGCTATAGCTGAAATCAAGATGTGATCTGGGATACGATAAGACAACCTACATAACGATATATCTTTATAGGTCTTGGTTAGGTTCAAGTCATGGGTTTCACTGCTTAGATTAATAAACCCAATTAATAATCTCGATAAAACATAATTGCGTAGACTACTATTTTTAACATCCTGGGATTTCTGTAGTAACAGAGGGGCTAATTCAGATCTGTTCTCGTTTCTAATTATCCCTATAGTGGCATTGGGCTATAGCCACACAATTCTCAAAGCTGAACTCGAGACAACTGGGAAAATAGTTATTCAATATTGAACGCGGAGAAAACCCCGACGATGGTGAAGACGGAAACAAGGAATTGAATTAATTCGAGTTGACTGGAATGCATGGCTCGGCCTTGCAGGTGTGTTCATCGTTTAGTGTTGTTATATACCTTTGATTCATATTAAATATATTGTTCTATCTCTAGCTTAAGCTTGTTCTCCATCATGTATCGGTGATTGTTACGATGCAATGAGTTGGTGTAGACGATGATATAACTTCCATGTAAGACCTTAGACATTAGGCAGTTATATCATGACAAAACTACAATTTCATGATTAGGTCTATTATTAGAGCAGTACTAATGTCAAAGATGACAATAGTTTTACACCCCTCAGCCTACTGAAGTAGTACCTGGTGTTGTCTAGAAACAGTGAAGTGTTAGGCAAAACATAAACTTTCTGGAGTTCTTATGTTTCCTCACTGAAGATAACGATAATATATATATCTACAAACACCGTATTTATTCTCTTGATTGCTCATGTTATCCGTGTTAGTCTTATATTGATACCATCGATAAACTTTTCAGTTTGAAAAATTTAATTTCGTCCTCTGAGGAGTCATAATTCGGTTGTGTCTTATCGTGGTCGCCACCCGCGCCACCATGCTTCAGCTGTTCCATAATGATATAAGGTTGTGGTTTCTAAAAGCTCTCAACTGTGAGTGGATTTATTCTCGACCATCTGTTGCACGTCACAACGCAACATCCATAAAGCCCATAAATTGTCATATTTATAATAAGAATCTTTGTAACGGAAACAGAACGATGAAAATCCCTCCGCCGCTTTTGTGTCAGGCAATAGTGTCATTTATTTGTTTGTTCTCCCTGTCGTGTATTTTAACCTTTGTCCAGATCCCATTCAACGACACCTTTTGTTCTTTAGTCTTCCTCGTCTGAGCCTTTATTATGTGATTTTGATCAGACTTATCTTTTGTTACCTAATTTTCTATTGTATATTGCCGGACTACTGAAAGTGAGTCCGTGGTTGACTAAGCTCAAGGTCATGGCGTGGTTCGGTGCGTGAATGTCAACCTTTTGATTGTCAACTAGGAAGGATTGCTGGAATACCCGCAGATAGATATTTGATCCCATCTTCTTCCGAATATTTTTATTGATTCTCAGTTGTCGAACCCTCTGGTATTAATTGTTTCTTTTATTGTTTAGCCCGCTACTTTGCGTTAGCAAAACCTTTGACTGTATAGCACAGGGTGTACTGTTCGAGGTATTTGTATTTTTGATATAATTTGTTCTATTTCCTAGATTAGAACAGTTTAAGTTGATCACTCAATTTGTGTTTTGATATAATTCAATACCAGTATCTCAGAAACGCTTGGTACGCTATGTAGAATCCAAACTACGGTTTGGAATGCTGAATAGTCTTCCAGGTGAATAAGACACGCGCCCTTACTAGTCAAAATCAAAACAAGTAATCGGGTAAATAGCGGTTCTGTAATTCATCATAAATTTAAATGTAAATCGTTACCTAAACAAATATTACCACCCGGTTATTCAACCGATAATTGTTCAATCAATCAAACCTAAATTACAATAAATAAAGAAGTTGATAAAAGATGCGGGAAAATAACCAGTCACGACAAATTAACGCTATTCTATCCTGATTGGATAGAACACACACAAAAGAATGAGCAAATCAATACGGCTGCCGCCAAGAACAAGTATCAAGTAAAACAACATAGATGCGGTCCGGGAAGAAACACAAAACACAGTGAAGGCGTAAGGAAAAACAAAAACTATAATAAAAAATACAAATATTAACAATTCAAATGTCATCAAAAAACCAACGATGTACAACTAAGGGGATCAATAGGAGCAAAGTGCAAGTATATATATGGAGGGATTTTAGCTCATACACAAAGCATTCAAAACGGATCTTACACGCTATATAGAAGAATGTAGTCTGGTCTATTCGAATAAATTTTGGTTAGTCAGTCCTGCATTCCAACCGAATACTGGCAGTTCGGTCGTTACACTTTTACTAACATTATTTGCATTCGTATGTGAGAAGAGTTATTCCTAATAATAATATGGCCAATGTAGCTTATATAATATCAATCTTAGTGATCTAATATAGTGAAGAATATATCGTATATAACAGTTTGATCATGCGTGTATAATGGATTGCCTCATGTAAAAGATTGTTGAGAATAAAATATTAATACTTTTATCATAAGATTATCAGTAATCAATATATGTAAATCACTCGTGTTGTACTTAGCGAGATTACGGAACATACAAGGCTCCATGAAAAACCAAATACAGGAACAGATAGAAACAAGTAAAAGCGTCACCAAAGAATAGGGGAACATGTTGCCTCCTCATTTTACGATAAAACCGTACGACAGGCTGTTG